AAAACATGAGAAAAAGAAATTGTCGTGCAAAGCCCCCTGTGGGATCCCCACGAATCCATTCACATTTGTGGCCGCATATTTAAAAAAAAAGCATATTCGTTCAATTACCTAAAGCCCCCGGTGTCCAGGCACCGTTTAACTTCTACACGGAACCGCAGTGTGTTGCTGTGGCTCTCATTCCTTCCTTTTTTCCTTCCTTCTCCTATCGGCGGGCACACGATGCCGAGAACGTCTGCAGCCGCCAAACGACAGCGGTTAGTTGTTTTTATTCGTGTCTTTTCAAACGAATTCGATGGCCTACGCGTCAGCCAGCACCGTGGCACACGTCCACACACACCCAAAAACCAAGACGTAAAAGAGAGAGCCCCGGTCCCTCCTGCAGCGACCGCAGTGCGGGGCGCCGTAAAGCATCTCATACTGCCGGGCAAACACGCAGGCGTAACGCAATCGTCAAGAACGAACCGACAAAACAACAACCGGCAAACCAACAAAAAAAAACACGTCCGTAAAGCAATAAACCAACAAAACACTGAACAAATACACACAAAAAAAAACGGTGATTCGCCTGCAGTCATTGCTAGAAGCGAACAATATAAAAAAACAAAAATGGAGGAAATAAAATACATGAGGACCCCGCTGTACTGGCGCCGAGAGGAGTGCGCAATTTGTGTGGCCAAGAAAAAAAACGCCGTGTGTAAAAAAACACACACACAAAATGTGTAACTACATGAGACTTTATTTACTTCTGAAAGCGCGTGGAGAGACGGAGATGTTCTCAGTAGAAGCACAAACTCCGCTCCACCGGGGCTCACTCAGCACAGGGCCGCAAAGCCCCATAGCCCCAATAGCAGCAGAAGCAGCCGAGACACACACCCACGCACCGTGCCATCACCGCTTCCTGAATTGGGCCTCACACGTGTAAGGTTGTCGAAAGCAACGGAGCTGTCACCAGAAAGAGAAATGCTGGATGCGTCCTTCGCAAGACTCGCGCTGGTGTATTCGGGCCCACCGTCAGCCAGGCGCACCCTTGGCGATGACGAAACCGACGAAGACCCCGACTCCTCACCAGCACTGTGACTGCCTTTATGGGCCTCCTCTGGTAGAGGCCCTTTAGGACTCAAACCGTCATCAACCCTCTTTTCTCCAGGTTTCATCTTGGAGGCAATCTTCCCATTAGTCCCCAGCGTTGTGAGTGGCCACTCACCAGCCGGTGTTGGAAGTGTGACTTTGCTGGCACTGAGGCTCGTGAGCTCATTATCAGCATAAAGTCCGTAGTTGTACAACAGGACATTGCCCACTGTCACGTCAACCTCATCTGTTCCCTTCGCACCGTCGCCGCCAACGTAGAAGTCCGAGACACCGCGTGGGGTGTACTCAAAGGGCGAAACTTGCTCCTGAATAAGCTCATTATTGTCAACGTACACAAAAAACTCATTCCAATCCCTTTTCAGTACCACTTGATACGTTGTGCCAGGCTGCCACGTAACATCTTCATCTGGCAACTCCCAATGCCTTTTGTTGACAGTCACTCCCCACTTCTTGTCCTTCGTGTAGAACAGACCAACAAGCACAGTATTGGCATTGTCATTCATCCTCACACCCATCAAAGGAACACGACCCTCTGTCTTCGGCACCGCGTTAATCATCACCGTCGCCACAAGAGTGAAGTCATTGTTCACAAAGTAGTACGGTTGGAACTGCCCCTTGTTGCCCACCGGCCACTCCGCCCGCGCTCCTACGCCTCGGAACCTCACGCCCCCCTCCGTGCCTGCCACATTCCCACCATGCACCATTGTGTTCACTCCGAGGTACTCGTCCTTCCATAAATTCCCCTCCAAACTGTTGGACCAAAAGCCAGCCAGCCCTTCCGTGGGAGCAGCAGCTTTACACACATTCTTTATCCGCGAGTCAACAGTGCTAGTGGAAGCACAGTTTTTTAGTGCGGTGTCCATATCATTCCAGGCCTTCACCACGCTCTTTATCTGCTCCAGCTGCTCAGTCAGGCTCACGGCGACAAGACTGTATGAATCTCCGCTCTTCTTCTTCTCGTACAGTAAAATCAACTCCTTCTTGTCAGCTCTGTACAGCAGGGAGCTGGCGGCGGCGTCATCACCTTCGCGAGACACCGGCCCAACGTCGTGCACACGGGCATTGTCTGTCATCCAAAGATGCAGCTGACCCTTTCCCTTCTCATCAGAATACACCGGCGTGGTGAGCAGCATCACCTTCTTTCCATCGATGGTTGCAGTGATGAGGCCACTTCGCGCCCCCTCCCCTTTTCGATCACGTGAGTTGCCCCACACGCGGGAAATTGGCGCACTGTCAGACCAATACTTCCAAGACGCAAAAGACCTGTTCACGTAATATGAGCCATCGTACAGGGAGCCATCATGAGGAGGTGCCGGTACCATTCTTCGCCCCACTCCACAATCGATGGAT